TGTTGAACTGAATTGAAAGCGAATGAGAAATAGAAATGTACTCAGCACAAGTTATTTTAGGCCAGATGAAAGGATAACTCCTAATGTTTCAGACTGCCTTGTTTTGTCTGTCTTCAGGTTTTGTGGACATACTTCAAAAGCATAGAAAGGGTCTGTGACCTCGATCTTATGTTTTGCCATAATATAAATTTTTAAAAAGCATCAAGACTTCCCTCAGTCAAGTGTGCTTGTTATGAACATTAAAAACAAGGCCTTGGGCCATTTTTAAATTTCCATGCATAGCCTAATAAACATCCTTGAGATCTGAAAAGAAAACATGATTCCGTACAACTGTGAATTTAAGAACTACAAAAAGTATGGCCTCATACCCAAGAAGACAGATTGCATTCTGACCAAATAATCAATGTCTCTGCAGAACTCAAATTTTTTAAAAGAAGAAATATAGTTGTATTGCTCACATTTTGGAGATAAAAATGAAGCAAGTTATACAGTTGCTTTGAATGCATAATTAATAAGTATTGTGCTGTAGTCTGTTCCTGGAAACTTCTTGTGACATTCAGAAATAACATATTGCTAATGTCTCAGCCAGCAGTAACGGACCTGATCCCGCCAGTTGAGAAAGAATAAAGAAGTCTGGGGTTCAAGATGTTCCTCTGACATATACTGATTGTGTGGCCCTGGGAAAGTAGCTTAAACCCTCACTGCCCCCAAACAACTCTGGAAAATTGTTAATTGAAGAACAGCTATTGATCAGCATTGGAAACATTAGCTGTGGCAACAGAAGATCACTATGCCAGTGAAATCACGTCGAAACCAAAACTTATTTAAATAGCATAATGCCTGGCACATAGTAGGTGCTTACTAAATGTTTATTAATTGGGTAATTAATTGAAGAAATTCCAATCAAAGGAAATAGAGTTTTTTTGCATTTTCTTAGTGTGAGTATTCTATCCACCAACACAGATTAAAACTCCTCTATAACTTTCTAGATTGTATTTTGAGTTGCTGTGGCTGGGGGGGTGGGGATGGTGGAGTCAAGATGGAGAGAGGAAGTGTTTTTGCTTAGGTCATTGAACTACCTCCTCCAGGTGATGAAGCTATTTGAATTTAGAGGAAGTGTTTTTGCTTAGGTCATTGAACTACCTCCTCCAGGTGATGAAGCTATTTGAATTTACCAAGCCTGGTCTTTGAACAGACATTCTGAGACTATCTCAGAAGTCTTTTCAGTCTTTATAATATCTGTTATAATTTATGCTCCATTAGCCCTGGCCTTCAAAATCACCTCCATGCTACTTAAGCATACCAAAATCTATAGTGTCTAACACACTTTTGAAGGTAGGGTGAATTCTTTCAGGTAAGTTGGGCACCATTTAGCCCACTCAAGTAATATCATAAATATGTGACATGGTACTCTGAAAAAGTTAATGTAGTATTTTCATTGTATGGTAAATACATTTCTGTAAATCTTAATAACTATGTTCATTTAATTATATTCACAGGCATTCATTAGTGGAACTAACTACAAACAATTAGATTCAGTTCTTATTTTCAGTTAAAAGCATTCATTTTTACAATCTATGATTATTACATTAATCATATTGGCTTAGAGAAAAGAATTCAGGAATACAAAGTTCATTATTAAATGGAAAGGAAGTTGGTAAAAAAAAACCACACAACTTCCATAGGATTATGGGCATCATGTACAAGCCAGAGACAAAAATAATGGTTTACATTCCTACCACAAAAAAAGATATCACTACAATTATTTTTTAAATGCAGCGTCATGGGCATTGGAAAGAACAGCACATAGCTTTACTGACTGGTAGATTGCTCTCATAGAAACGATGCAAACAGCAAAATGGAAGAAACACTTTAACTTACTATTTTCAAGAAAGGGTTGCCTAGGACCAGTGGGCATTTTCAACTCATAATGACTCTGTATAGATTGTGTAGAAACCTTTTTACGAACAGGCTGTCTCCTCCCATTTGAATTTAAGTTCCTTGAGGGCAGGGGCTGTTTTCACTTCTTCTTTGTATCCCCTGTGCTTGGAGATTAATTATATCATTCGATTCTAGCTCCCACAACTCATTTCAATCCTAATGGTTAATGTGAGCCTATATAAGAGGCAATGCTAATTACCAGGAAATGTCAATGGTATAAAGACAGAAGTCACTAAGAAAATTTGTTTTAATCTTCTATGTTAATGGTTTTCAAGTGACTTCAAAGACACCACTGATGACATGACAGTGTCTTCCTGAGAGTCTATTAGGTGGTTTCTTATGATAGTCACATTTATGAGAAGCATTGTCTATACCAAGAGTTGGGAACCTGCAGCCTTCAGGCCACATGTGGCCCCCTAGGTCCTCAAATGCAGCTCTTTGACTGAATTCAAACTTCACAGAACAAATCCTTTTATTGGGGTTAAAATCCTTTTACTAGGTTCCCTCCTCCATACTTTCGTTTCTGACATGGAATAGTAATTTATGTTTAATAAAGCCTGACAATTTTGTTGGTCAGTGACACTCAATGAGTTGGGGGGAAAATAATAGTGATGAGGGAGAGAAGCCAAGAAGGGTAGTTCATGAAATCTATTATCCCATGAGATTTGAGAACATTTTAGAAAACATCATTGAATTCTGTAGTTAAAAACAAATAAACAACTACCTGGTGGCCAGTATACATAAAGACACCAAGAAAGAGATTTTTTGATATAGACATACATGCATTTACAAAGATACACATATACTTTTTCTGGATAAATAATAGTTAAACATAATTCTCATTAAAATAAAAGTATAGGAATATATGCTTTTGGATTTCCAGCAACATCTCAGACTTTTATAGGACCTAAATGTTTATAAAGCATTTTCAAACACAGAGTATTTTTCATCTCCCTCTTATAAATATATGCTTTTATCAGCTCACTTTTAAAAAATAATGAGCCTGTAGAACACTGTGGTCATAAGTAATGACCTTTGAGATCTTTCAGTTCTAACAATTTATGAATCTATGAACTTCAAAAGATTAAGAAGTACTGCTCTAACACAGTTATTGGAAAGAAAAAATTGGGGAAGGAGAGATGAGTCTCTGAAAGTTAAAACTGAAAGGGAACCTCAGAGATCTAATAGTCTCAACTCCATTTTACAAAGGAGAGAACTTCCTTTCTCTGCCATAATAGAATAAGGACTTGGAACTGTATTTTCAATGATAGAGGGAAGTCCCAAGGAGAAAATTCCCTCTACTGATGAAAGTTTACACTTTCTCTTCAACTTATTGTCTTAGAGTCCCTTCCTAAGACAGAAAATTTTTTGTTACATTTTAAAGAGTGTTACCTAAAGTTGACTGCTATAAGGACATTCCTATTAATGATGAAAATGAAACTGCCTGATTAGTAAGGAAAAGCAGGTCCTTACTTTTACTTTAAACTATGGATGTCAATCAAAACAGAGGAAAAATAATATCTTGGGGTAAATAATACCACCCTTAATTACAGCTAGCTCATGCAGACTTAGAGCCAGTTAACTCATAAAGACTTAGCATTAATAAAAATATTTATTGTGGCCCTTTAGACTATCTGAGAGGCTGCCTAGCAAAGTGCACAGAGACCCAGAAGTAGTTGTTGTACTGGCCTCTGAGTTGGCAAGACCTGGGTTCAAAGCACTTTGCTATCTGACATACTGACTGTGTGACCCTGGATAAGTCACTCAACTGCTTCAGGGTCCTGGAATCTCTCTAAATCTGTGAGTCACAGAACAGTGACCATCTGCATTGACAGAGGCAGTTTCTTCACTGGGAGTCCTCTACATTAGTGAAATCATATGTCTGGAGAAAGATATCTTACTACCATACATTAGTAAACTTTTAAAAGAATTAAAATGTGTAGAAACATGGAAATTTTATGAAAGCAAACATGATATCTTCTCCATGTAAACATCACTTTAATCACACATCTCTGGAAAAGTTCATGTGACTGTCAAATATATAAAAAAAGCTTCCAAAGCACTATTCTTGATGAGGTATCTATCGATGGACCTTATTACATAGGAAAAAAATTTCAGTATAATTTTGTTTCAACCAGGTCTATGTGAATCTTCAGTTACAACGACTGCATTAGATACAGAAGGATCTCCTGCATTTTCATGTGAATTGTCAGCGCAATTTTTATAAACATATCAAATATTTACATCACTATTAACATTTATGGCATTTAACTCACAACTCCAAATAAATTTCCAGGTAAGCTATAGCTTCCTAATATTCATGGAAGCATACTACACTAATTAAAAATTAAACCATTAAAATATTTCCAAATCAACACGTTTTGGGATGATTGCATCTAAAAATTCTTCCTTAACAAGAGACATACCTTTTTAGGAAATCGGAGGATGGGCACCCTCCTTGGTATGCGCAAATCAGAGAGCTGTAAATCTAGCAGGAGGAGGTGGAGAGGGATGGTTGTTTTGTTTTGTTTTGTTTTGGCCTTCTTAATCCAATTTGCTTTTGATTATTACTGAGAAGGTTACTAAGATACAAAGTCTTCTCTCTTCTGGAGTAAAATCTCACCCTAGTTTTGTCCCATTACAACACTGTTCTCACTCAATATGAATATATTCATTTTCTCTGTTTTTTTTTTTTAAATCAGGGAATAAAGTAGCCATCTGTGCTTTTCTGCTCTGGCGGAGTCACTGCCCAAGCTTGGGGGCATCCTGCAGAAACTTGAACTTGAGATGAGCCAAGCTCTGCCCGCCCGGCCTGGCCAGGCCACCCATTCTGCAGTGAGCATCCGACATGACTAGCATTTGGATGGATGGAGGCCGCCAGTGTTAAGGAAGGCACCTTGTCTCCGAGGCAACAGAAACCTGATCGGGGTGGCAGCTCCCGGGCAGCTGGCAAGGGGCGTCGGAGAAACCAAGCAGACCCACCTCCGCCCCCTCCACCTCACCACCCCCGCCGCCCCCTACTTCACAACACACACCTCCGCCGGCAGCCCTCCGCTCACCTGCCAGCCGCCGGTGCCGCCGCCAGCCGGGGCGCCCCGGATCCGAGTGGTGAGCACGTCATGGCCAGTTTGGTCTTCGCCTCCCAAGCGGTAGATGAGCCGGAGGGGCACGACGTTCTCTCGCTCCAGAAAGCGGTTTTCGTTCCTTCTCTCCAGCTCCGTCAATAAGGCGTCTCCTCCGGGGTGGGAGAAGTGGAGGGGGAGAGGGAAGCCGGGAAAGAGGAGAGGAGACGAAAATCATCACCCCGAACCCAAAGGTTGCCCAACTAGTCGGTCGTGCCCTTCTCACGATGCAATCCCCACAGCGAACAACAACAAAAAAGTCCCCCTCTGGGAAGAGACCCCGGCCCAAGAGCCCTCGGACTCCCCGATATTCCCCCAACTCTCTCGGGCAACTGACGCGGCCCCAGAGCCCCGGTCCCGCGCACCCCAGAGAGGGCTTCCAGGCTCGGGGCCCAAAGACAGGGCATCCCCCTTCCTCATCTTTCCCAGGCTGCAGAAAGAAAAGAAGAAGAAGAAGACCTTCTCCAGCGGCTCTCGCACAACGCGACCACACAAACACGCACGCACCCCGTCCCTTTTGGCTTTTTACTCCTCTACAACCGCATCAAAACAATTGCTCTCAGACATCCGGGGAATGGGATTCCCTCTTTCTAGCGCATCCCTGCAATCTGCCAGTGAGCAAGTGGCCTGTGTGCGTCGCGGAGCTCCCTCCATCCCGCAGTCATGAACGGTGGGGAACTTACCTGGCAACCTGCACAGAGCCAGCGGGAAGATGCCTGAGATGCCCAGCAGCAGCCAGGGCAGCAGAGCCGCAGCCTCCGCAGCCTCCGCAGCCCGCATGGCTCTCCCTGCCCTTCAGCCTGCCCCAGCCAGGGATGATGCTCAGGGAGAGATGCTCATGGTGGAGACGCGGGCACCCAGCCCCGGAGGGCGCTCCCTTTCGTCTTTCCTCTCTGCTCTCTTCTCCTTCCCTCTTCTCCCCTCTCCTCTCCTTTCTCTCCTCCTTTCTCCTCTCCTCTCTTCTCTCCGCGGCTGGCACGCGGGCGCTCTGTCCTCCCTCGCCTTCTCCTGCCTTCCGCCCTAGCCCGAAGCACCGGGCACTGCCTGCCGATGACGGCCGAGCCCGGTGCTGCTGCGGCACCACCTAGGGCTGGCTTCGGCTGCAGCCTCTCCGGGCGCCTCAGTACTGCATTGTGCTGTAGCGGAGTCCGCCGGCGGATAGCAGCAACGTTTGCTGCATAGGGCAGGTTTTGCTGGAGCCCAAGTGAATGCAAGCGCCTCCCACCCCTTCGCCTAGCTAAGCCTCGTCCTGGTTAGGACGGCTCAGCAGGGAGAGCGAGAGAGTGCCCTGTGGAATCGCCCACCTCGGCTCTAGAGGGGGAGACACCGGAGGAGAGTAAACTGGGAAATGTAGTTCTCAGTTCAGTTAATCTGTTCTCTTCTGTGTCAGCCAGTGGGAGAGCTACAACAGCCGTGACTGCAGAGGGACAGAAAAAAATGCCCAGAGAAAACCATCCTGACCCAGGAAGCAGAATTCACAAGGATCACTGACAAAGACTTTCTTCCAAAAAGTTTACAGACAGTTCTGGATTGCATTGATTAGAAAGAAGAAATAGCTTGATTTTCCAAAAGGGGAAGAAAGTGGATTCTGCAAAACCATAGGCCAATAAGCTTAATGGGGACCCTGGCAAAGTTCTAGAGCAGATGATTGAAAGGTCGTCTGTGAACACTTAGGAACGGAAGTCGAGAAAGCCTAATCTAAAGGTTTCAGGGGTACATTAAAAAAAAAAGTTCTCTCATGCATTATATTTATCTCTATATGCATTTTATGTTTCCCCCAGCCATTCCCTCTTCACTAGACTAGAAGTTGCTTGAGGTCAGGGCTATGCCTTATTTATCTTTTTTATCTCCCTTAGTGCCTGGCACAATACATTGCAGAATGGTTGCTTAATGCTTGTTGATTTTCGTTTGTTGGTAAAGTCATTTATCCTATTTTTCCTTTCTTGCCAGAACTCTTAGACTGGTAGACCAGTAAATTTCTATAAGACATAGTTATATCTCAACTATAAAGAATCATTTCAAAAACTCTCTAACGATTTCCTCAAGAAGAAGATAAGGAAATATTAGTTGGGTGGCAGTACACTTTTGTCGATGTATTAAATGGGCTGACCAATTCTACTCAAACAATGTTAATGAAAAGATTAATGCCAGCCTAGATTGAATTTTCTTGTTGGAGTGCTATGAGTCATTTATGCTGTCCTCTGATTACGAGTTCTATCAATAATTTAAATAACATAGATGGCATACTTGTTAAAATTGCATACGACTTCAAGCTGGGAAGGATAGTTAAAAAATACTTTTGTTAAAACATGTAATTTTGTGTCTTCTTATATATCTATGTGTTGTTTCCTCTGAGAAAATGTAAGCTCCTTGAGGGCAGGGAAAGTTTCACTTCTGTCTTGGTATCCCAAATGCCCAGTACATAGCATATGCTTAATAGGAGGACCAGAATGTAAGAATACCTAGAAAAACCAAGCAAATTTTTACATCAATTGACCCTCCTGGTCCTTTCAGTAGTTAATTTATGAATTAATAAGTGATTAATTACTTTAATTAGATGTATGAATAAATGTTTGTATACTGACTAGATTGATGATAAAATCAGTAATCAAAAAGATCTTAATAGTCTGGAACAATGGATGGAATAAAACCTAAGAAGATGAAGTCTAATTCCCATAGATGTGAATCTTTGTTCTTAGTTTAAAAAGAAAAAAATCAGATACTTAATCAGGAAAGACATGGCTAAAATATACAAATTATTTCTCCCCTTCCCCTGGGCAGAGATCTAGTCCATCTAACAAAGAAGTTTTTTGGAAGAAGAGAGAGGGGGAAAAAAGCAGTAGAGTAACACTAACCAAGTTTGACCCAAGGGAGGGATGTGCATTTTCTTCTCTCCTCTTCAGGGCCAAACTTGATCATCATAAGGCATAATATTACTCTTAGTAACAATATAATTGTAATGGGATTCTTCATTATTGCTTCAAGGGCTACATAGAAAGCAGGGCCACAGATTCTAGATATTTCTGACTTCCTTTCCTTTAAAGAATATTTGATGAAGAGTGAAATGAGCAGAACCAAGAGAACATTGTATACAGTAACAGCAGCTGTGAACAACTAAGTTATTCTAAGCATTAAAAATGTTCAAATCAACTACAAAGGACCTATGAAGGAAGATGCTATCCACTTCTACAGAAAGAACTGATAAATAAAAGTACACATAGTACTTTTTTAGGTTTTATATACATACATATAGATGTATATATAGTGGTGGCCTTTTCTAATGTGGAGTGGGGAGGGAAGAAGGGAGACAGTTTAGAACTTAAAATGTAACAAAAAATTAATTAAAATTAGAATATTTGAAAAATAGAATATTTGAATATTTGAAAAGCTAAAAATTGCTATTGTGAATCTCCTGTCTGTTAATCCACATTTAGAAAGGGTAGTTTTAACCTGTTTTCCTCTTTAACTTCATGAGGATCTCTTGCCCATAATTTGTTATACAATGCCATCCCATTTGGTCTCCCTTGGCTAGGCACATGCATCTGGGTTAGATGAAAAAGGAGAGACAGCTAATAATCACCGTGTTGGTGGATATTTAATCCAAAACATCTCACTCTGTCTTTGCTTACATGCGCAGTGATGGGGAGAGGAGTGTTAAAATATTTCTTTTTGGGTTATTTACGTAGAAATATTTCTGCATCACTTAGTAAAAAAAACCCATTTAGAATCTACATATACACAAATAGCTAAGCAGAAGAGGTGTTTTCTAATTTCTAATTGGGAAAATGCATAGGCCTTCCTGAGTTTTCAAATAAACATTCCATCAGTACAGATGTGACAAAATTGTATTTCGAAATAAATTTTGTTTAGTGCCAAATTGAATGGCACACACTTAAAAATTTAGTTGAAAAGCCATCGTATGTAAGACAATGCTAAAAAAAATCATAATGATTCATATTCTCTACATCTTTATAACACAAATTTTGAGAAAAATAGGCATATTTTCCTTTGTTTCTCTCTTGAAAGATTGCTGACATTTCCATCTGCAGTAAGCATCATTCTAAAGGCTTGTGTACAGAGAATAGAAGAGGTATAAACTCCTCTATTTCCCTGCAAGTAAGATGATAGATAAATAGATAGATAGCAGATAGAGAAATAGATGGATAGATAGATAGATGAGAGATAGAGCATTTTGTATCAAGCAAGTAAGTAAATGCAAGACAGTCCCTGCCACCGAGGAGGTTACATTCTAGTAGGGGAAGATAATACATAAAAAGGGGCTGCAAGGGGGTGAAGAGTGGGGGATACATCAGGCTAAGACCTAGATCCAGGCAACCTAATGGGAAAACTCACCAATCAGAGCCCAGTTGTTCCTAGGAGCTGGAGTCCAAGGTTCCCATCCAACTGGAGAGGAGGTAGAGAGGATGACTTAAGAAAGTCCTTAATTTCTCTTCAAAATCAATCAATATCCATTTATTAAGTACTTACTATATACGTGAAATTGTACTAAACACCTGGAATATAAAAAGCAAACAAATCTTGTGCCTCAAAGAGTTTCTGTTCTAACACATGCATAAGTAGACATATACAAGATATTTTCAGAATGGATGGAAGGTAACCCTAGAAGGGAAGGCTCTAGTAGCTGGTGGAGCTGGGCAAGGCTTCCTACACAACATGGCATTTGAGCTGTCTTGAAGGAGACCAGGGCTACTAAGAGAGGAGTCGAAGAAAGAAGAAATTCTAAGCATGGGGCACAGTCAGTCAAAAAAATGGAGATGGGAGATGGAGGGCCATGTGTGAAGAATGGTAACTAGGCCAGTATGGCTGAACCATAGAGAAATTGGAGAGTAAGAAGCCAGGTTGTAAAGGTCTTTAAATGGCATATTTAATCATATAGGTAATAGAGAGTCCCTGCAGTTTATTGAGTGTGTATTGGGGCAGGGGGTGCTGGTGACATGATCATGACCTAAGCTTTAGGAAACTAATTTTTTTGGTGGCTGTTATGTGGAAGATTGTTAGGAGTTGGGAGAGATTTGAAATAGGGAAATCAATTCGGAACCTACCACAATAGTCCAGGTGAGAGGAATGGGGGCCTGAACTAGGGTTTTGGTTGTGTGAGTGGAGAGGAGGCAACATATAAAGACATACTGTAGAGACCGAGTGTCTTGCAAGATTTGGCAATGATTGAATATACTGGGTGAATGATAATGAGGAGTCAAGAATGAAGAGTGATACCAAGGTTTCAAACCTCTTTCACTAGGAGGAAGGTGGCCCTCTACAGCAATGAGAGAGCTCAGAAGAGGACTGGTTTGTGAAGTGGAGGTTGTGGAATGAGTTCTCTTATGGGCATGTTGTGTTTGATCTACATATGAGACATCTACTTAAAAATGTCTAAAAGGCAGCTGGTGATAAAGATCTGAGCTCAGGAGAGAGACTAGGACTGTATGTATGTATCTGAGAGTCATCAGCATAGAGATAATCTAACCGATAAGCACTGGTATCATTGTAAAGAGAAAAGAGTAGAGGACCCAAGTCAGAGCGGCTCCTTCTCACCGTAGCTGAGTTTGTTAGGTTCAATACTGCCTGTGATGCCTATAAAGTATTCTCCTTTCACCTCTCTTTCATTCCAAAGGATTTAAAGCTGGGAGACACATTAGATATCACTTATTGTGACTAACTGGAACTCAGAGAACAGTTTTGCCCATGGTCACAATACAGTGAGAAACAAAGGATTTATACCCAGGCCTCCCATCCCCCATCACTGCCTCATCATGGAGGAAGGGCTTGCATAGCTCCATGAAACTACGAGCTATGCCATGCAGGCTTCTCTAAGATGGATGGGTCATAGTAGGGAGTTCTGACAAAAGGTGGTCCACTGGAGAAGGAAATGACAAGCCACTTCAGTACCTTTGCCAAGAAAACCCTACAGACAGAACTAAAATGATACAAGAGATGAAATCAGATGAGGCCCTCAGGTTGGAAGCTGTCAGCCAGCAAGAAAGGAGGATAACTGCAAGCAGCTCTACGACTAATGAAGCAACCGGTCAAGGCTGAAGGGAAGCTCAGCTCCAGATACAGCTGGTGGCCAGAGGAAAGTCTGATGCTGTAAAGATCAATACTGCGCGGGAATCTGGAACATAAGCCACATAAATGAGAAGACAAGACTCATTGGAGAAGGCCCTCATGTTGGAAAACATTGAAGGCAAAAGGAAGAAAGTGGATGGCAGCTGATGAGATGGACAGAGTATCAATGAACGTGAACTCAGACAGACTTCAAGAGATAGTGGAGGATAGAAGGCCTGGTGTGCTGTGGCCTATGGGGTCACAAAGAATGGGGTCACTACTGAATGATACAACAACAACAACAACTCATGTCAGACTCCAAATCCAGTTCTATTTCCATGATACCACATCTCTCTATAGTGAAAATAAGCTTTGTTACCTTAATAAGAGATTGCAATAAGTTTTTGGCAGCCAGGTGGCTCAATGGATAGAGCGCTAGGTTTGGAATCAGAGTTTAATCTGGCCTCATACTTTTACTAGCTGTGTGACTCTGGGCAAATCACTTAACCCTGTTTACCAAAGTTTCTTCGTCAGTAAAATATACTGGAGAAAGAAATAGCAAACCACTCCAGCATCTCTGCCGAGAAAACCCTGAACAGGGAAACTAAGAGTCAGGAAACACTGGTAGTGGAGGAGAACTTTGGTAGGTAACAGTGGAGAGTGTGTTGAAGTGAGAAGATATGAATTTCATTCCCATCTCTAATGTTTATGAGATGGAGAACCATGGGCAAGATGCCTAGCTCCTCTGAGCTTCAGTTTCCTCATCTGTACAAGGAAGTCGCGTATAAACTGCTGGGCTTGGAATAAAGACCCACGTTCAGACTCTACCTGACAAGCTGTGTGACTCTGGCACTTAGCCACTCCTCCAAAAATGGAGATAAAAGTATTCACAAGATTGTTATGAGGGTCAAATTAGTATATAAAACAAAACATCATTCGCAAGATGATGGTCATAGTTTACCCCTGAGCTGTCCTTTTGAAAATAAAAATATGCAGTCAGTCACAACAGAGAGCGCAGACAATCTCTAGAATTGGAATTAGGAGGTAAAAATGGAAGCAAGGCCAATTTTATAAATACACCACACACGTTAAGTCTGAAAATCAGTCAGTAAGCATTTATTAATCACCCACTAACTCTGTGACAGGCACTAAACCAGGCAATGTGAACATAGATACAAAAGTGAGACAATTCCTGCCCTCAAAGAGAGTTTAGAGTCTGCTTTGGTCGACAGTGTCAAATGCTGCAGAAGCGTCCAGGAAGATGAGGACAGAAAGCTTTAAAAATCATACTTTTATGGTATAAACGTAATTCTACAAATATTAGAGAAAGTAAATACATATTGTGAGTGGGGTAGAGTTTAACTATGGATTTTCAAGATATATTTAAAAGAGGTTTCTTTTCTAAGGAAAAATTACTTTTCTTCAGGTTCTTTCTAAGCTATAAACCCGTTTTCAAGAATTATGCATACAAAGGTTGAAAAGTTATGACTAATTTAAATAATTTGGACATTGAGAATACCAATTTCCCTACATAAATAAGACGTCACTTTAGGAGATTGCTCATAGGCATGACATATACTAAATGTGCATCACTCATTTGTAGCCTTTTAAGTGAAAGAACATGTTCAATGTCATCTATGAATTCCCAAATGTACATCTCGCCACCCCACTTCTTCCCAGTTTTCCAAGTATTTCA